GCAGGTTCAAACCCGCCAGGCCTGCCAAGCATTGTGGCGGGCAGCTATAGACCCAGCTACTTAGGAGACTGAGGCAATAGAATCACTTAAGCCCAAGAGTTGGAGGTTGCTGTGAGCTGTGACACCATGGAACTCTACCAAGGGCAACATAGTGAGATACTGTCTTAAAAAAAAAAAAAGTCAGGGCAGCCAATAATGAACAGAACTGATGAAAACATTGTAAAACTTCACCAAATCATGCATCAAAATTGCCGACTGGGAGAAGCATAGCAGACCAAGTAAACATCAACAGGAAAACAAGAAAATCTTAACTGATGGGTGGCTCCTGTGGCTCAGTGAGTAGGGCGCCGGCCCCATATATGGAAGGTGGTGGGTTCAAATCCAGCCCCAGCCAAACTGGAACAAAAAATAGCTGGGCATTGTGGCAGGTGCTTGTGGTCCCAGCTGCTCAGGAGGCTGAGACAATAGAATCGCCTAAGCCCAAGAACTGGAGGTTGCTGTGAGCTGTGATGCCACAGCACTCTACCGAGGGGGACAAAATAAGACTCTGTCTCTAAAAAATAAAATTTTAAAAAAAGAAAATCTTAACTGAAAATCTTGGCATGAGAAAGATGTGACTTTTTTTTGTTTGTTTTTGTTTTTGTTTTAGAGACATAGTCTCACTTTGTCGCCCTTGGTAGAGTGCTATGGTATCACAGCTCACAGCTCACAGCAACCTCCAGCTCTTGGGCTTAGGTGATTTTCTTACCTCAGCTTCCCGAGTAGCTGGGACTACAGGCACCTGCCACAATGCCCAGCTATTTTTTTGTTGCAATTTGGTTGGGGCTGGGTTTGAACCCACCACTCTCATTATATGGGGCCAGCACCCTACTCACTGAGCCACAGGTGCTGCCCAGAAAGATGTGACTCTTGCATCATGACAATGCATCAGCTCACAGGGTACTGCCTATGAGGGAGTTTTTAGCCAGTAAACAAATAACTATATTGGAACTCCCTCCCTACTCACCTGATCTAGTTCCCAGTGACTTTTTTCTTTACAGAAGATAAAGGAAATATTAAAAAGAAGACACTTTAATGACATCCAGGACACTAAGGGCAATGTAATGACAGCTCTGATGGCCATTCCAGAAAAGGAGTTCCAAAATTGCTTTGAGGGGTAGAATAGGCACTGGCCTTGTGCCTATCAAAATTTTGATTGGGCTGGGAAGCACTAGCTTCCCACAGAGAGTGCTTGGAAGGTGACCATAGTTATATTCAGCAATGAGGTACAAAGTACTTTTTCTAGGATGAAGTCACAAACTTAATTGTTAGACCTCATATACATACTCAGAAAGGAGGGTCATAAGATTTTTGATAGCTTGTGCCACAAATCTGAAGACACATCCCAAAGAGGAGTTTCTAACATACTTGGCTGGTAGCCAGGACAAATAACCATGGGATATAGAACATTGACTTGTTACATAGAGGCAGCCCTGTGCCTTCCTGTGTGAACCCAAGGTCAGCAGCCACAGAGCAAGCCCCTCTTCCTGTCCTGCTCCTAGGAGCACATCCTGTAGAGCCGTGTGTTTCCTGCCTAGTTCAGAATCCAGTTGCCAAACTATGCTTCTCCAAAAGAATCAACCATGATTTTTCTCCAGTCCCATTTTTCACTTTTGGGTTACTGGATAGGTGGTTACCATACCCCATAATAGCAATCCTTTTTTGATACAGGACCACTGTAGCCCAATCAGGTACTGTACTTGTGAATGCAAAAGCAGAGATTTCAATGAGATATTCATGTAATATTGAATAGATATTTGAACATTTTAGCAATGTTGAATTGTAGTGCTTTATTTTTTGTTTTTAGAGACAGAGTTTCACTCTGTTGCCCTGGGTAGAGTGCCATGGCATCATCATAGCTCACAGCAACGTCAAAAACCTTAAACTCTTGGGCTCAAGCAGTTCTCTTGCATCAGCCTCATGCACCACAACACCCAACTAGTTTTTTGGTTTTGGTTTTTTTTTGAGACAGAGATTCATTTTGTCACTCTCAGTAGAGTTCTGTGGTATCATAGCTCACAGCAACCTCCAACTCTATTAAGCAGTTCTCTTGCCTCA